TACGTACTTGGAGGAAGAGGAGGAAGAGGAACGCTTGTCAGATCTGCAGGGAATGCAACAGTGGGAGAGAAAGCTAGGCGGGGAGGGAGGAAGGAAAGAAAAGGGAGGCAGCAACTCCGGTTACAAGCCTGAGCCTTTCACCCACACCCTGCCCCCCCCCCATCGGTTGGACGCTTGGCTCCTGCGGGGGAGCAGAGGGGTCACCGAAGCAGTGGGGGGGGGGCAGGGTGTGTGTGAAAGGCTCAGGCTTGTAACCGGAGTTGCTGCCTCCCTTTTCTTTCCTTCCTCCCTCCCCGCCTAGCTTTCTCTCCCACTGTTGCATTCCCTGCAGATCTGACAAGCGTTCCTCTTCCTCCTCTTCCTCCAAGTACTTAGGGGCACTCATGGAGGCCACTTCTTGGGGTCTCTCACTGCCCATGCTTTGTGAGCGAGCCCGCCCGCGAGGGATGCTCGTGAAGGACCTTCCTGTCAGCAGCTTCAGCAGCTTCGTGGACCCAGCCTGTCTGCTCAGGTGTCCAGCTTCACCGGGGCAAAGGCTGGCTGCAAGTTACAGACCCCCCTCCCCACTTTAGCTTGCAGGGATGGGGGGGGGCTCCTGGCAACTCCCCTTTCGGCTGAAATTCATGGAGATTGGTCACAGATATTGGTCTCCGCGATTGGCACCTGGTGAACCTTGTCTCAGTGGGGAAGCTAAGCAGGGTCCCCTTGATGATTATTCAGATGGGAGATCGCCAGAGGATCCCAAAACTTTGGGTAGGACCGGGAAGTTAAGAGTGTCTGGAAGAAATCACCCTGTGCAGTCCCTGATGGCAAGTGCACAGATGTGCCTGGGATCACCATGGGCTAAGCTGAACTGAAAAGAGGCTCACTTTTCAGGGGTATTTGTTCTGGGCAAGACTTTAAACCAGAGGGGTGGAATTTTTTCCCTCACAACCTTCTCTGGCTCACCCATTTTGACTTCCCTCCCCCAGGGACACTCCTGCAAGGGATCCCACTGGATCCCGGCTTTCTTTAGCCAAACCAACACCTTTATTGGACGTCCTGTCGGTGTGGAAGAGAGCCTCATCCAGATTTACCATTTACTACTTTTTTCTTTTCTTCAAACACGTTTATTCCATTTCATAAAAGATTCTTTGTTCGGGGTTAGGGAAAAGTTTCAGAAAATCCAGAGTGAGTTCTCTTTCAAGGCCACATCACTGGCGCTCCAACACCCTCTTTTCTGCCAGCAGAGTGGGGCTGGGAGGGCCCCCCACGAGCTTCTGCCCCACAGCCCCCTGCAAGAAGCAATACCTTTGGGCTGCCTGGTCTTGCCTCAAACTCTCTCCCCACATTTCTGGTGGAGGTAAAAATCCCTATATTTCTCCTTATACATCTGGCGGGGCTGGGCTAATGTTTCCCAAATAAACACAGGCTAGCTTCTTTCGATGGGGGACACCCCCCCCCAACTGGGAACCCTCCGGGGCGTTGGACGACAATCGGCAGAACCCTCAGCCAACATGGCTCACAGCTGGGGAGTCCTGGAGGTGCCTTCCTCACATCTGGAGGAGCCCATGTTGGAGAAGCCGTAGCAGGGACGTTCCTGCCCAGCAAAATGGCCAGATTGTTTGAAAGCAGGATCCAGGGGTTGCCAGCAAGGAGGGCCCAGGGGCCCCTCCAGATAGCTCTGGATGAAAGACGATGCCGGGAGCATGGCCCAACTTGATACGGAGCATTGCTCTGCAGTCAGAGGAGGGTGAGTTTTTTTCCATCCATCTCATTCCCGGAAGGTGGAGGGAGACCACCGAGAAAAGGTGTGTGTGTGAGTGATTTGAGCCTGAAGGCCTAGGAAGGAAAGGGATATTGATAGAGAATTGAGTATATCTCTGACCCATAACCCAGCTGGGCTGTGACAAGCAAAACAAATCAGGCCGTTTATCCCATGATTTGGTTTTGCGTCACTAATTGTGGTTCTTCATTCAAACTTTCTGTTCATTTTGGAACGTTTGGTGGAACTCATTTCCAACTCTTCTCCTCATTCCTGAGGACCAGGGCCCAGCTTCTCAGGCGTGGCCGGGGGCAGCTTCTGCCCTTGCCTGGCACCTCTGTGGAAACCCCCAACTGCCTTCGAGAGAAAGTACACCGAGGGAGCTGTGTGTGTGAACTTGTACGTCGTGTTTTGCTTGGCTGGAGAAGCTGCCTCCAGAAGAGCCTCCAAGGGCCACGGCTGTCGGTGAGTGGCGTGAGGACTCAGCGGGATAGCTCTCCGGAGACAGTCCGGTTCAGAGGGTGCCGTGGATGATGGGCGGGCAGGCCTCTGGGAGGATGCAGTGTGCCTCGTGTTCCACCATGCCCGCTGGGCACTGGCACCCTGGCACACAGGGCTTAAAGCAATGGGACTCCAGCACACCCAGTGGCACAGCGTGGTTAAAGCAGGTCTTGGGGCAGGGGGGCCCACACTCATCGAACACGTAGCCCCGGTCTTGGGGGCAGCCCACAGCTATGGAGAAACAGAGAGGCATGGCATTAGTAGCAGGAAGGATGGAGGGTCCAGATGGGGTGGGACTGTACCACTCCAGAGAGAGGCAGGGGGTGCCATATACCACATGAAGGATGGAGGATTGAGGTAAGGCACAGGGTGGCATTTTGGCTTGGTTAACAAAGACCAGGCAAGATTCCTCTAGGAGAGGGAGGGAGGGAGGGAGAAAAAGGAAGAAAGGAAGGAAGAAAGAGAAAAAAGAAAGAAAGAAAGAAAGAAAGAAAG